TATACAAGAAAACAAACGAAATAACTAATACTTCACCTAAATAATAATAAATTTCCACTATAAATGTGGCATATTTTCAGAAAAAAATCATACGATGATGCTACAATTGAAATTATATTGAATAAAAAACAAAAGTTCATCGTTAATGTAGAATCATGTAACTTTTCCAGTATCGCATCAGTGTAGAAATGGACGTTTTTATTTTCATTTAATATAACGAATCGATACATGTATTTCATATTATGTTATGTATTTACCTCCACAAAATTATGCCTATGATTGATGTAATTTAATTACAATGTGCAAACAGAGATAAAAATGATACGAAAAAGAAAATAAAATTAATGAAGCATAATTAATGAAAGAGAACAGAACAAAACAAAACATAAACAAATATTTTTAATGACCATCTGCGCTGCACATTTCACTATCTGTTTAAAAAAAAGAATGCAAGTGATTGATTATTTTAGAATTTTTCAATAGGATATTTTCTTATACATCAACTATAATTCTTATCTTATATGATCATTATTAATAATGATAATATATATTAATTCATATTAGTTAAATTTTTTTATATAAAAGAAAATTCTTATAAAATTATCTTAAATATATATATTATTTTAAGACAAATTTATGTTTAGATAATTATTTAAATGAAATCTAAAATTTATTCTGATAATTCAAAGATTTTAAAATAATTCTACAATTATATTTATTATTATCAATATCATATCTGTTTTTATTAATAATAATATGTTGTATATTTAAGACAAAAAAGATTTTTATAACTTGAATATTCTTTCAAACTAAAGTCAATAGCAAAGTTAACAGTTTTGACGTAATCAAAACACCCAAATCTATATAAAATTTTATATGATTCGTAAAACGATTAATTCAAACAAAATCTAAGAAAAATATTTTCAATAACGCTCATATCTGTACTTATAATTTTGTCTTACTAAACATAATCTGGAAGAAATTATTGTCAAATAATTACTTTAATAAATAGTGAAAAAATCAAATTGTTTCATGTGTTCTTATACAATAATAATATTATTCCTAAAAACTAATAGATGATTTTAAAATGATTTTCTCAGTAATGATACATACATATAGATATACAAACGTCTTTTACTAATTATCTATTTTTTAAAATATATATGAAAATAGTTCTGAATCTAACTATATTTAATTTTGTAAAGGATTTCAATCATCATATTTTGATAGAAGCGAAATGTTTCAATGAAGTACGTAATCGAAGAAAAATTGCCAAAATATTAAGAGAACATTCATTGATTAAATCTGATATTCTAAAAAATATCAAAATTAAATCTAAACTATTAATTAATCTTTTATTATTATCTTTCCATAAAAAAAACTTATATATACTTCACATATACATGATCTCATTGATCATCATCTATAGATAGATATTATCAGAGATATGGTAATTATTCTTGCCTACACTATATTGTCAACACAAAATACGAACATCAAGTGCACTCTTTTTCAGTTGAATAAATAAAGGAAATGTTGATCATTGTTGTTAACAATATGATTTTTAGAGATAGTGAAACGTTTAAAAAGTATGTCATAGTGGAATCTATGAGACAAATAGCAGAGTTTTTGTTGATTATGAAACAATGACTTGAATGAAAGATAATATTATATTCATTAATATAATTATCGAAAATGAATTTTATATAAAAAAAAAGATTAATAATAGCTCAGTTAAAATTTCATATAAATTTGAGCATTATTGAAAGATTAATTTCAATTTTTCTCTCAAGATAATCAAATAACACAATCATGTTATAAAGAAATTCTAGATTATAATTTTGATCAACCAGATTCTATATCTAATACAGCTCATTTCACACAAATTGTTTTGGAAAAATACAAAAATACTAGATATTGAAAATGTATTTAATAAACAAGATAATATGTTTATTGTTGCTCAATATAGTCTGTCAGACAATTACCGTGAAGCCTATAATACAAATGTTTTTCATGTTAAATATTAACTAATTCAATGAATCAGTTATATTTGTTTTTTATTTTGATATTAATTATGCTTTTTTATTTGCTTTTCTTCTTAAGTTTAATTTTGCGTGTTAAAAATACGTAAGAAAAGTTAGTACTATATTAAGGGTAGGTGTAGGCGTGGATATTCTATGTCATCTACACCCACACACCCACACCCACCCTCAAGATGGTAATCAGCGTTAAAAACTGCGTCTAACAGCTTGTTCAAATCTGTTCAACTCGAAAAAAAAATTTTAAAAACTTGATCGGCGAAGTGTCGCGTTACGTGGACAAGCCGTATTATACTAACATAATGTAATTGCAAATAAAATATTAACATGGAAAGAAAAAAAATGTTTTTATCTACAGAAAATATCTGATAAAAGAATATGATTATATATCAAAATATGCTTGAATAGCCCAATGATCCGAACAATAACGTTTAATCGATGGTAATTTTTCCAGGCCTTCTAATTCAAAATAGACTGGTTGAAATTGAATTGTAGTTTGTGTTGATGGACGATAATAAAGACGATCAAATCGAGCTCGTGGTCGATAATCAGTAGATGGATAATAAACATTTGTATTTCGATCCAAAGATCAACAATACCTGATGGAACATCACCTACTTTTTGAAGCTAAAATAGATTTTTGTTGAGAATATTTATTCTTTAATGTACTCTAAGTTCTTACTTCTTTTTCTCATATATTTAAATCACCACCAAATAAAACAATTCGATGAGATGGTGCATCCGACATATGTTTAAAACATAATTTTAATTGTTCCATACGTTCTTTACTTGCGATATCTTCTGTACCACTTTCATGATGTGATGTCATTAGATCAATTTCAATCGAATTTTTATACATTGCCTATTTAAAAATAAAATTTATTAAATAAATAAATTCAAAGAATATATTTACATAAACTATAAGTAGATTCCTTCCCATATTTGTTCCTGGATATGGAATAATTTCAAAATTGTATACTTTAAATAATTCACGACGAGTTAGAATAACTACGAAATAACCTTCAGTATTTCCTATAAAGAATAAAAATGGATCTTAGATTTTAGTTAATATATAAACAAACCAGCATATGAATCATAATCAGGTAAAAGATTTCGAATTAAATCAAATGTTATTGGAATAACTTCTTGAAGAAATACAGCATCAGGTTCTTCACTAATAAAATTAAAATCTGTTAATAGTAGTTTTGAAAAAAAACAATACCGTTTAATAACATCAATAACTCCTCGTGTTCGTATATCGATAGTATTTTCTTGTTCATCAAGTCCATCAATATTCCATGAAAGTACTTTGAAACGTGTCGTAGCATTTGTTTTATTATCTATAGGTACTGATGTTGTAATTGATGGTTCACATTTCACTCTTTTAACATCTGATGTACTTATCGTTTGTTTCTGTGATGTTTTTGATTTCCCTTGCATTGAATCTTGGTAAGCACTGACAGCACATTGTAAATTCCATTCATTTTTTTGTAACATCACCATAGCTAGACCTGTATTGGTATCTGTCATTGAAGCAAATTCTTTACATACTACCAATGCTTCTGCACCACTTAATGGACATTCAATTCCATCACCATCATCATCATTTAAACAAATGCTTCCATATAAAAGAAAACACTTAGTTTTTATCTAATCCATTATATATCAAAATGGGTTGTCAACCCAATAATATTTTTGGAAACCTTGAATAGATCATTGACTAGTGACCTCGTTATTTTAAAATTTAAGTCAACATATCAAATATGACATATCATGTGTCTATTTTATATAAATCTCAAAAGGGACTAAGTTAGTTGAATAGATTAACGACTAAAAATGACTCATTTTGATCGTTTTTATATTAGTAAAAATAAGAAAATTAACGACAGGAGATATTCTCCTGAGATTAAATCAAGGTATATTCATTTACGATTTATAAGTGTGTTCATCATTGAATCTTTTCATCTCATTTATTCACTATGTTAACTAATAAAAAGTCATTTTCAATTGAATATTTAATATCAAAACAACCATTACCTTCTTTTTTTGAGTTCAAACGTATACGTACAGCATTTACAAGTATACAATTATTAGAATTAGAACGAGAATTTAACAGAAAAACAAGTGAAAGTAAAATTATTCTTTTTTTATTCTATTTGAAACAAAAAAAACATATTAAATTTAGATTTGGTTTCAAAATCGGCGAGTTAAATATAAAAAAGATAGATTAACAACACATCATACAATTCAACATAACCAAACAAATGATGACTATAAATAATATATATATAATTATTCTAATAAAAGAAAATTTTCAGCGCGGAATAGAATACTATAATAATAATTGATTATGAAATTTTCTATATGTTTTCAATAAAATCAAAATTAAATTCATATCGATGGTCTTTAATTACTAATGATGTATATGATATTCGAAAATATCAAGCAACAAATATTGCTAATGAATTAACATTAATGGTTGAATTTTATAATAGAACAGTTCTTCTATTTGTTATACAAATTTTGCAATAAAAGACAGATAAAATGCGTGTCCCTGTCGGGTGTGAGTGTGAATTTAAATGTAAATCTTTGACACTCATATCCACACCCACACCCTCAACTAATATATAGGTTTAATGTTACGATGCTTCTATAGCAATAACTTTTTTTTCGTTCTGTCTTTATGTTATATATAGAGATGGTGTCCCTACTATATACTTTTACCTCTCTTTTTTTGTTCAGGTTCAAAAAGAGTTCATTCTTTCCATCCAACCAACACACGGAGCAAGAAAAAGAAATATTTTTTTTCTTCGCTCTCGTTTGCTTCGTTACTTGTTCTTGTGTCATTTAGAATTCATTTGTACTCTATTTTGTTTACGGAGCACCACTCTAAGTTTGCTGGTAACTTCATTTTTATCAATAATAAGGATTAAAGTAAGTTCATTATATTTAATGTGCAGATATCTGAAGTAGATAAACTTCTTTTCTATAGAATATCATTTTAAATGAGAGAAGGAACACAGCATATATTATATCATTAGTAATCGCGAGCTTTTGTACAAAGAATTTCTATGCTCACCACATCAGTGTGTACATGATATGTACGATACAGATGAAAATCTATATACTAATGTTGAGTGTGTGTGTGTGTTTGTTACCGAATCACAGGTTAAAGGCATGCATTGCAGCGTCCTGATTTTCTCTGTGGAGGACGTCCTATCTAAATAATTTTGAGGGTGTGGGTATGGCTGCTACATATATGTGTTACCCACCACACCCACACCCACCACTCTCAAGATAGTGAATCAACAGCGTGACATAGTCTCAATACATCTACCTCTACGTATGTGTTATTGCATGTGTCTCCTTTTATGATATTCATTGTGGTGGGATTAATTTATCATTCAATATAAATACTTATTATTATATTAGTAAAGTTATACAAGAAAGTTTGATATAACTCAAATATTTCGTTATAAATGATTTTGTGAATATACATAAAATAAGACTTTTTTTCTATTTCATTATAGAATGTCATTAAAATTCTTTATTTCCGCCATCTTTTTCTTCGAGTTCATATCAATTTGGTACGGTTGTAATGGATATGGTATAATGGGCACAATCACTCCAAATGTTACTGGTCTCATTCCATATGCAACGATCTCCCAAACAATTTCTTTGTATGCGACCAACATTAATATGATATTGACGGTTTATCAACATCTAATTAATAATACGCTTCAAGATACATTACAAGTAATAACTGGTAATACCAATGTTGATTCAACTAATCGATGTATCGCTTATGGTGTGTCGTTCTCATTCTGGGGACAATATCCAATAATAAACAGTCAAGAGACTGGAAATGGTGGTTGTGATGCAATTCTTGGGCGTGAATGCTCACAAAGTATCCATAATTTATTAAAACAATCTTTTGATGATATTAATAGTACAAGTTGTGGAGTTCGCAATCAAAACATTCTTACAGACCCTCCTACAGGATGTCGACTACCAAAAACTACAGCAAGTACTTTAATCAGTTCTACATTTTTGAAGAATGGTTCGTTCACGACTGGTGAATCATCAACAGCAAACTCATCAAATACATGGATGTATCGTAAAAATTATCCATCTGTCGATAATGGCGATGATGATCTGATGAAATCTTTTGTTTTTACATATTTCGTGGGGCGTCCTTATTCGTCAGGCATTATCGACAGTGCTATTGCATGTTTTTCTATTTATAACACAACTGTAGGATCAAGCACAAGAGCACAACTTAATGGTATGGCGACACAACTTTTTGTCTCTGAAAAATTTTTAATTTTTTTGTCATTATCACACGTCTTTTCTCGATTTATGGTATATTTACCATCTTGAGGGTGGGTGTGAGGCGCATGAAAGGGTGTAGGTTGCGCTGTAAAAGCTTCGATTTTTATCAAATATGTATCTCGGATTTTCTTTTTTTTACATTTTACTTTTTAATGTTTCTCATTTTCGACGTTTATCTTTTTCGACCTTTTATCGTTCGACAGTTATACATTAGAATCGAATAATGACTAATATATTTGTATTCTTTTTCATTTTAATTTAAAAAAGTGTTGCTCTTGCAGGCTAATGTTACTATCAACCTGCACAATTTCGTCAACGCAACATGTATTAGATTGGAGAAGATTTTATTGATCGTTCATAAGAAAAACTTATTATTATGAATTTATATCCCTGTGTAATTTCAATATACGATTCAAAAAAAAAGAAAAGAAAATGCTGCAAGACTTTTGACGTGCACTATTTATAAAGCAAATATGTGTTTTTTTTCTTAGACACGATATTATCTCTTATCTTTGAAGAAAGTTAGAAAAAATGAATTCTTTTTTTTTCTTTCTACTTACTTAGCTTTACGATATAAATTGAGTGGTACACGAAACAGGATTATAGTATGGGTAATAATAATAAACATGAAACATTGAGAAAAGAAGAGATTTGATGCTCATTTAACTAGCGATGTTCGTTTGCTTTCTTAACAATTAATTATCGTCAAATTATCAACATATGGCTCAAAATTATCTTCTCCTCTGGGTGGATGCCAGCACCGAAGAAAAACAGAAGAATTGCCAAGACACGTTGGTTCAACTGAGGAACGTAATCAACGACATCATCCCGTGGGCTCAACCGAATCAATGCATTGAGTCGCTCAATCAGATTAGCAATGAACGAGCCTTCGTTATTACATCAGGCTCGATAGGTCAACGTTTAATTCCCAAAATTCATAATATGTCACAACTAGATGCAATTTACGTCCTCTGTGGCAATAAATCCAAACATAAAAAATGGGCTAAAAACTGGATAAAAATCAAAGGTGTTCATACAAACATCAAAGAAATTTGTGAAGCATTGCAATTGGCTACTAATCAGCGTGATCAGGACACAATTGCCGTAAGTTTTCTCACGGTAAACGAAATGACTTCGACTGATAATTCAAATCAATTGGAACCAACATTTATGTATACACAGATATTCAAGGAAATTCTCCTTGATATGGGACATGATAATCAGGCCATCTCAGATTTTATTACGTACAGCCGACTGAATAATTCCGGATCGTCAATCAATATTAATCGATTTGAAAAAGAATACCATTCTCAATCAGCTATTCGGTGGTATACTTTAACACCATTTATTTACTGTATGCTCAACGATGCTCTACGCTCAATGGAAGTCAATACCATTATTAATATGGGCTTTTTTATTCGCGATCTTCATCAACAAATTCGGCGCTTATATCAACAACAAATTACTAAATACCATCAGAAACCATTCATAGTTTACCGCGGACAAGGTTTATCGAAAGAAAATTTCGAAAAATTACAAAAATCAGAAGGTGGTTTAATATCTTTTAATAACTTTTTATCCACTAGTACAGAACAAGACATATCTCTCGTATTTGCCCGAAGTGCGTCCGAAAAGGTGGACATGGTCGGCATTGCTTTCAAGATGTTAATCGATCCTTGTATTAAATCAGTGCCATTTGCCTTCATCACGGAGGTGAGTTCGTTTGATGGAGAAGACGAAGTTCTTTTTTCAATGCATACCGTCTTTCGAGTGGGCGCAATTCAACACATGGATAATAATAATCAACTTTATCAAGTTGAATTAAAATTAACGTCGGATGATGACCAACAACTACGATTACTTACTGATTGGATACGAGAAGAAGCTGCTGGTATTACTGGATGGCAACGATTAGGTCACTTATTGCTTAAAATTGGTCAATTTAATCAAGCTGAAGAACTTTATAATGCATTGCTCAAACAGGCATCTGATGAGAGCGAAAAAGCGCTTTATTATAATCAGCTTGGAGGTGTCCATTTTAATCAAGGTAATTACAAGAAGGCTGCTCGGTATTTCGAGCAAGGACTTGAAATCTGCCAAACAGCTCTTCCTTCAAAACATTCTCATTTGGCTACGTCATGCAACAACATCGGTAGTGTGTATAAAAAGATGGGCGAGTACTCGAAAGCACTTTTATTCTATGAAAAAGATTTTGAAATCTGCCAAAAAACTCTTCCTTCAGATCATCCGAAGTTGGCTACTTCATGTAACAACATTGGTAGTGTATATAAAAAGATGGGGGACTATTCCAAAGCATTATTATTTTACGGAAAAGCACTTGAAATCTGTCGAAAAGCTCTTCCTCCAAATCATCCTCATTTAGCTATTTCATGCAATAACATCGGTTTAGCGTATGACAACATGGGCGAGTACTCGAAAGCACTTTCATATTTAGAACGTGCTCTGAACATATGGCAACGTGCATTACCTCCAACTCATCCTGATATTAAAAGTGTGAAACAAAGTATTGAAATTGTAAAAGTACAAATTATAAAGAATATGTGGTAGATAAATAAATAAAAGAAGATTTTATTCAATATTTTCGTGACTCTCGCACGTATACAGAGAATAATTATGTTTCTAATTCTTTATAAGAATGTTCTCTCTAATAAAAAAAAGGAGAAAAACAATATTACTTTAAATACTAATCATGAAATAAATCAAGTGTGGGTGTGGATGGAAGATATATCTCTTCTTTCCTTTTAAAATCGTCATTTCGTAATTGAGTGAAACTCGAATACCATTTAACTGCTTCGATAAACAATATTTTCAATAATGAATCATTCTCTAAAAAGAATATTATTAAAAATATTTTTAGTCCACTTCCTTTCATATGACATGCATTTTTGACGTAAGGTTACCTATTTTTCTCTTTCTCTGACGAAATTTGCGCATTTTTATATGTATTTTTTTCCTTCGTTCTACGTATATTGCGCATTTATGTATCTAACGATGTAAACTTCTATAATATTATTTTTGTCAATGAGAATATTAATGATTCGCTTCATTTTTCACTGCGTATACCTCTTAAACATGCTTATATAAAAATATAAATACTGCATCATAATTTGCATTCGTGTTTACTATTTATATATATTTTTTTTTTCATTTAATAATCTATCAAACTAAAAGGTAAATAAAAAACCTATGTGTGCATAAATCTTTATAGAAAACTTTCTACTTCGAATAGTATATAGTATATAAATAATAGATACTATTGCATGATTGAAATTTATAAACTTATTGTTTTTTAGTTATAATGCTTCGTTTACTTCTATTAGTATGTTTGGCACATTTAGTCGGTAAGTTAATCATTGTTGATCATCAAATAACGATTTTCTTTTTTTTTAGTTGGTAGAACGATCACTGGAAATATTGTCCTTAAAAGCAATCCTGATAAGACTATTGTGTTACCAAATGGATGTCAATATATCGTTCAAGTTGTCGATGCATCACGAGCTGATGGTAAAGCTACTGAATTAGGAACAACACAATATACACTAGTATCATCTTTACCACACTCATATACGGTAACATGTGTACCTAGTGGTCTACCAATGGGTTCTGATTCGCTACAAGCTCAAATAAAATGTCCAAATGGTCAAATGTATATCAATGATCATCGAATATCTGTACCGGACAAGGAAGGTGATAACATAACAATAGATATTGGAGTTATTAGCCATCACTGAATATATACGCGACTCTAACTGAAAAAAATTATTTTATAACCATTATAATACTTTATTTCGTAATATTGCTTTTATTAAAAAGGATTGATCGTATAATTACCAAGTAACAAAAAGAGATTTTCATTGAATATTGTATTTATCTATAGTACAGTTTCAATAGATAATCTTACAATTTACATATAACTGTTATAGTATCTTTTTGCTTAAATAAGCTGATACTTTCGTCTAAATCCTACTTATATGTTTCAACTTAAATTAAGACTAGAAAATTAAACTACTCTAGATTGTTTTATAACTTATTGTGATCAAAATTGTGAGCGTTTACTTGATTCAACAACAATTTAATATCTACATATGTTCCTTGGTCAAATTGGATTAACTTCGTCGGAATTTATTCAAAAATTATAAATAAATGTTTCGTATTAGATACTAGTTTTTCACTTCTAATAATAGATTTAACTCTTTGAGGACTGGTGACATTTTAAAATGTCATTGGAATTTCACGTAATCTAACACGTTTGAATTCGAATTTTTTGACATCTTTTCAAAGTTAACATTGAGACTAACTCTTCTACACATTCGTGTCACAAGTTGTAAAGTCATGAAGATTATAAATTATTCCTAATAAATTTGACAAAAATAAATTATTTTCGAAAAGTTGAAAATCTGTATGTTTTAATTGATTCTCAAAATAAGCCGGTCCCGAAAAGGTTAAACACATGAGTAAAAAAGCTCGTATTTCGATTAAAACTAAATGTGATCATTAGATTTCTACGTAATATTACTTTCATAGTAATTGCTCGGGCCTTTCAAAATCTCCTACAGTACTCTTGATCTAACATAGATACAACATTACTACAACTATAGTCAAAAGGAGTACTAGCTCGTCAAAAATGCTCCAGTGGAACACAAACTGCACAGCCATTTCAGCCCATAAGCTCCATTCAAAGTTGTCGATGACAGTTGATCGTGATACCTATCGCTACCTTAGTAATTGTCATGAACAAATATGAACAATTAATATCTTTGAAGTTTATTCGGAAGAGATAGCAATGAATATTATCACTTTATTTATTTGTGGTCATAACTAATCGAAAATATAAAATCGATTATCAATCTAATACATCGTCTTATTGTTATAGTTTATAAGGATAGATTTTTTAGTTCAAATAATGTATTTAAACGTTATTTTATACAATCATTTTATCCTTCCGAAAGTGTAAAAATAAGTTTGACTAATGATGATACTATTTTTTCTCTCTCTTGATTCTTTGATGTATTTGTTTAATTCATTTTTAGATTTATTAAAATAATATAATTATAAACAGAGGAAATAAATACATGTGCAACTACTCGTGCTTATCTAATATATTTTTACTGATTTATAAAAATTATAATCGAATTCTAATGCAAACTATATATTTTTAATTATTATATAAATATCATCTAACATTATTTGACTAATGTATTGAAGTAGAATATTTTTACCTCTGCTTTTGCGTTATATTTATTCTGACCTATAAAATAACATGTCAAAAAATTATTTTTTATTTTAAAACTTTAAAGTGCATATTTTCTATGATGATATCCAATACAGTTAGATTTTGGCTGTATGTTAGCCTTCTTATTCCATCTGTTATTTGCACATTATTTGCTATTATTTATCTTCTGATCAATCGAACGTTGGGAAATGTTCTCACCAATCATATTATCATTATTATTCTTAGTTTAAGTTTGATTTCTCAAGTAACATATTATCCATGGATGCTTTATTACTATCAGTATAAAGGTACTTGGAGAAGAGCACAAATCTTTTGTTTAATCTGGGGTTATCTTGATTGGTGTATATATATTACACAAGCAATACTCTTTGCTTGGGCTACTATTGAAAGACATATTTTGATCTTTCATGATAGGTGGGTATCAACAAAAAAGAAACGTTTTATTATTCATTATATTCCACCAGTTTTAATTCTTCTCTATTGTTTTATATTTTACTTTATTTTCTGGTTCTTTCCTCCATGTCGAAATAATTTCTATAATTCTGACATGTTATGTCTTGATCCCTGTATTACATATAATTCTACCTATTCTATGTATGAGACATTTGCGCATCTTATATTACCTGCTTTAATCATTATTGTATTCAGTATTGCTTTATTTGTTCGTGTCTTAGTAAGAAAACGTCGAGTACATGGAACAATTGAATGGCGAAAACATCAAAAGTTAGCTATTCAAGTGTTATCTATCTCGATTTTGTATCTTGTATGTTTGTTTCTATATGCTTTATATTGTATTATGTATGTGTATAAAGTACGAACTAAAGCGTTTCGTGATTTTGAAGAATATGCAGAAGTTCTTGCTTATTGTATGACACTTCTATTACCTTTTGTTTGTATTTTATCATTACCTGAACTTCGAACAAAATTCATCAAGATTCTACGTTTAAGATGCAGAACAAGACGTATTGGTACAGAAACACTTACAATGAGACCTACAACAAAGAATTGAACACATTTTAATAGACACATTTTGATGTCGTATAGTCAGTAATGTATTGTAACAAAAAACAGAAATAAAATGAATCAATGTTAAATATATAACTATTGAAAGCTATCATTTGCCAACAAATTTAATAACGAATACATAGGTTTAAATAAAAAATAAACATTCAAAAATATCTTGATTAACACATGTGAATATATGTTCAAATCTAGGGGGAAACAGCGGACTTCAATAGACTTCAAAAGACTTCCAAGACTTCATGAGTCTTCACGCATGAAGTCTCTGTTGTTTATCCCCCGTCTCCTCGTGGAATACATGCATGGATAGAAATTCTAGAAGACTTCATGAGATTTCATAAGACTTCAGGCGTAAAGTCTCTGTTGTTTCCCCTCGATTCAAATTGTAACAAAAAAGTTGCTTTTAAAAACTTCAGTTATATATTTACCTGTAATACTCCATCGGTTAAATGTATTTTTATACTTTAATGTTCTACTGATGGTTTTCTTGAATTCAAAAAAAATTATATACTAGTAAATCATTTATTTCACGAATAATTTCTTAAAAAATA